GCTTGTTAAGACTTGATATAAACTGAATATTTCAACATTTAATTGCGTAACGATCGAATATTTATTTAATTGTTTTTTTTTTCTGAAAAGAGAAAAGAAAATTTGATAACGAGTGATATCAATCCTGGATCACGAATATGATGATTTATCGAATATTTTCACTGATGTTCAACGTGTGGATTATTTATTTCTTTTATTGCAATTTATTTCTCGATATCTTTCAAGTTAGAAAAGAATATTTTAATCGTGATTGATGATCTAGTACATGATTACTTTGAATTAAATTGTTCTATATATATATATATATATGTGTGTAACAAATTTCCATTATGATCTCATCATCGAAACGATAAAATTTACAGAGATTTATAAAAAGCAATAAAAAAGATCAAACTTCACAAATTACGAATTAACACTATCGTGAGATAAAACGAGGATAAGAATATACGCGAATGATAGACGCTTCAATTCAATGAGAATAAAAACTCTATATATTTTTACACGATATAAATTTAATGGAGGAAAAAGAGGGGAGGAACGAGATGCGAAGGGGGGAAAAAAGAGAAACGCGGGCAGACAGGGAAAGGAAATATTCACACCGATGTACAACGGTTGTTATACAATGGATATCACCTGCCATAATATCAGTGATTGCGCGGAAGCACCGCGATATGGAAAATTCATGAAAATCACGGCGTTACGTTCCCCGCGTGTGACATTCGCAAAAATTTCGTCGGATACTTTCAACGGCTCGTACCGTGTATTTTATACGCGAGACCATTTTGCCGGCCGCACACGAGCGATTTCAATTAAATTAAATTCCAATTAAATTAAATTCCAATTAAATTATAGGCCGGCCCCGTCCAATGTCGGCCGGGAGAACATATGTATTTCGCCCGTTTCGTGTTTCGAAACGTATTCTCCTATAGAACTGAATTTAAGGGCTTCGAATATAAATAACCTCCTCCCTCCCTCCCCTCCCCTCGTATGCAAGTGACTTTATAAATTTCGAAATATTTTTGCCACCAATTTCTTTTACGATTTTCGATAATTTCTCGATCCGAAGCGTATACGTAAATTGGCGAACATGATCACAAAGAATTCAACCTCGATTAAAATCGAACTGATATCGAGGTATAATTTTTATTTTTATTTTTTTCTTAATTTAAACAGTTGTAACATATTATGGCAGATAGTTACGTCTGTTATGTGAAGAATTCGTGTAAAGAAGAAGATTTTTCGTTTACCAGCTGACAGGTAATTGATTGCCATCGAGACCGTGCAAATCTGCAAGTCGAAATAGACTTGCGTGTTTATTCGAGACTTGGTAAGCTACGAATAGTAAATACAGCTTGTGTACCCAGTGTTTTCGGCAAGGTAGTGCCTGTTTCAATTTGCCAAGGAACTATTTTGCTTTGGCAGTGCACGCTGTTACCCCCTCTCTTAAGTATAGAAAACAGGAAATGAAGCGCAAATTACTCGCGAACATTTGATTCGTTGTTTGAAACTGCTTCTCTAAGAATAAAAGAAAATTTCTGAACCTCGACACCACTGTAATTTTTTTCTTTTCGCCTATCTAACTTTCTTATTATTCGTTCAAAAAATTACGTTTTATAGAGCCAAGGAAAGGAATTTGTTATTGACTCAATGAAATATATTTAAAGTAGGATAATAAAAATTAAAGAAAGAAAGAAATATTAAAATTATAATATGAATTCAATGTTCTATAACTTCTTCTGTGATAATTTTCTTCTATGAAAATTTTTAAATATTGAAGAAAAAGGAATAGAATGCAATTTATACGTACAAATTTGTAAAAGATATATGTAAAAATTATATATGATGTAAAAATTTAGTAAAAAATCTCTACGTAGATATCTTATATTTACTTACGTTGTTCATACTTACTGATAACACCTAAATGCCAAAAATAATTATCTTAGGAAGATTGATGTCATGGATGCTAGTCCACATTTTGAATATGCGTCGTATTCACAATTTAGCAGGCCTCATCGGTGAGAGCTATAACGAAAATGATTTCCCTAGCAAGATTGATGTCGAGCTTCTATCGAAGCACAATATATACACAAACATTGAACGAAAATTATCATTTACCTTCTCCATCTACGAAATCAAAACAAATTTGCTATGTAAATATTATCTAATATTAGAATATCAACATACAATAGTACGATTTAAAAGATAATAATTTATACCATTTTAAAGTTTACATTGCTGCAATGATTAAATGATATCTCTAACGAATTATTATTTATTTTGAGAAGATACAAAATTTCTCAATTAAAAATAAAAACAGAAAATGGTATAAATGAATCAATTGAATATTAATTTAAATTTATCACTGTTCGCAAATGAATTAATAATAATCTTTTTAATAAATTTAAAAACTTTTAAAACGACAATGTGAATAATAATTATAAAAGCATACCTTAAGATTAGTAGAAGTAGGTGTGACTTTCGCTTTAAAAATGTAAATGCTTGATGCACTGGCCTGATGTAGTGACAGCTTACCTGCAACAAAAAAACAAAATGTTAATATCAAAGTAAGTATTAATATAAACAAATGAAAAAAAATATAATTATATAATTTTATCATTGACATTAATTATGATAACTATAAGCAAGATTTAATTTTTAACAAAATTGTATTATCATCAGTTAATATATAAAATTGTAGCTGTTCATTAAAATATTGCATAGTAGTAATAGAAAAATATTTAATAAAAAAACCTTAATCTATTGTATCTTAAAAATTTACATCACAAAGTATTGTTTCATAACACAATATTACCACGAATTTTGAAGCGGCGTAATAAGAATTTTCTATTATTCTGCAAAGAGTCTTATCAGAACTCTGATTAAGCTCGCGCTTTTATTGGAGACGAACTACAGCGAATCCATCAACTGTCTTTGGATCCGTGGATAATCCCTCCGGATGAAAGAAATTTCTTAATTTTCACTTCAAGAGCTTGTTAGAACTTGTTCCGTAATTAATATTCCAAATAATCTCCGCTAACAGTTTGTAATCTCTACAAACACAAATCTAATTACTTTACAAACATAAATCTAATTAACTCTAAAATATCACGAATTGCGTGTAAAGAAAGAAATTTCTTTTAAAATATTATCAATAAATTCGAGTTTAATATTATAAAAAAAAACAATACTTTTATAAATACAAATTATATCCTAAACTTTTTCTAAATATTAAAAATAATTATCGACGAAATAATTAGAGAATAATAATTGTAATCGATGAAAAGAACTCCTCCTACTTGTCATTAATTTTTCTTAAAAATTTGTCCATATATATTTTTCACTTTAATCTTAGGAGTAATTTTAAAAAACGTAGACCAATGCAATACACATTTAAACATACGTTACAATAACTCGATCATACTTTTATTATTTTCGAGACGAATTAATAAATTTCCAAATTTTACGTGAAAAGAAATCTTAAAATCTTTTCGCCAATCTGACATCCAACGTCTATGCACCGCGAAACTGCGCGTCGAGATCCTCTTTGTTTATTAAAGATTATCTTCGAGAACGACATCCTTCGCTCGAAGTGAAAGCCCAGTAAAACGGTGAGGGCCATGCTTTCGAAAAGCAGATGCCCATACGATCCGGAAAGTTAAGTTCGTTAAGTATTCCCAGGGGTCGTGTCTTATCGGGTAGACGTGGCTCTGATCCTCCACTTACCCGTGCCGTGGCATAACAATTACCCTATTATTTCGCACACAGGCCCACCCACACCGTGTGCCACATCCGCGATACACGGCCCCTCCTCGAAACCTTGCGTTGCTTCGACCGAACATTTTTACCCCTCGTGTGTCCATATCTGGCTACCTACATACGTTGCGCCGTAATTAGCCGACCAAATGGTTAATTACGCCCCTTAACGCGCTATCTTCTAATTGGGTGCGCCGTTGTTTGGATTAATTGTGCGAACGGAGAACGTCATAAGACTGAGTTGTTGGCGAATGAAGCTTCTTATGAGATTTTATTCTATCTTCTTATTTGATTTGACGTGGTGATTTTGTGAAACGAAACGAAGCTTTTTATAAGGTTTTATAAGTGATTCGTGTGAAGAAAATAAATCTTCTTTTGAAAAAGTTTACTGTTTGGCTTAGCTGAGCAAATTGTTTTAAAGGAACGTTCAATTTTTATCTTATCTTTAATTCTTTTTCAGATCTTAAATATTTGATTAATCGTAATGAATCATAAGTATTTGTTGCACTGGTCAGGAATTTTTTATTTACAAGATTTTTTATCGTTTATCTTATTTTGTAAAACAGTCAACAGTTTTATCTTTGCGTTCATGTGACAGATCGGTGGTCTCGAGTCGAAATGATATTATCACGAATTTTAAATCCCCCAAATGTCGACGAGAGCTCAAAGTTTACTTTTAATCCCGAATAAATAGTCGAGCTCGGTGAGTACCGGTATTTTCTGCAAAGCCATATTTTTATCAAATTAGAGATGATATGTGTGATTAATGCTCGCAATAAAATTTATTTATTTTAGACTTTGTATACATATTGTCATATATGACATATTGTCTCTCTTGATATTACTTTGAATTTAAAGATATAATTACAAAATTTACAATATTTTAGTTACGTCGAGTTGTTTCAATTATATTAATACGTATATGATATATTTATTATCATAATTGAATAATAGTGTAAAAATTTTATAGAAAGAAAGTTATTTCTGTATACTTTATTTTTTATTGTAAATATATTTAATAACAACGTTATCGTAATTTAATTTTCTCAAAAAGTACAAAATCATTCGATATTCTAAATCTTCCCAAAAAAAATACATCCAACATTGTTATCTTTCTCAACAAATACACTGCAATAAACATTTCTAATTTTTCGAAGAAAAGTATACTTATCAATAAAAATTAATTCTCCTAAAACCATTCAAATCTTAAAAACTTCCAACATTTGACGTTCTAAAAACATCATACGTCAGAGTTGGTTTTCGCGTTATTCGTAGTGAACCGCAGTCGCAATTAGAACGAAATTCGGCATCGAAAGACGAGTTTAATTCGGCGGAATTAGGAGTGCGGAACCTGCTCTTCCCCGTTCGGGAAACTCCGGAAATTTCAAGAGTTCGTCTGGACGTCTCGAAGGGGAGAACGGAAAAAAGGTACGGACAGAGAGTCGAAAGAAAAAGGAACGAGGGGCGAGACAAACGTCGAACTTCTAAAGAATCGACGGGAGAAGGAGTCGTTCGGAGAATAGCTAAAGTCGATCCCTCCCGCGTTTGGGAATTCCGTGATCGGAGGGGGGGGGGGGGGAGGCGGGGGGGGGAGGGGTAGGGTGGCCCGCCCCGGGGTTGGGGGAGTGCGGGGGGGGGGGGGGGTCGTTGGGGGGGTGGGGGAAGTCGATCCCTCCCGCGTTTGGGAATTCCGTGATCGGAGGGGGGGGGAGGGGAAATTCGCATAATCCTTTCCTGAAATAGCACGGGAATGATTGTATAACGCTTGAAAACAACCTAGACCGCTGCAAGAGGTTCTTCTTTTCCTTAGAGGAGGTTCAAACGAACCTGAGAATGAGATACTAAAAAACGTATATACAAGATACTTCCAATTTTATGCGATTCCATTTGCAACGTTAAATCGAACCTTATTAAAATTACGAAAACTTTAAACCGTTATAACTTCGAAGATAATAATTTCCTATCGATAAGTGAAAAATCATTAGAAGCGCTGATCCTTTGCCTTTAAAACGACTTTTCATTTATTCCGATACGACTTCCGGTTCCCGAGATATCGTCATCTGAAGGAAAGGATAATTTTCTATTTTCGTTCTTGTCGCTTACTCGGACCTTTCACTCGCTCCTCGTCACTGACCAATCCCAAGCTCCGGACAAGTGAGACAGGTCAGTGGTAAACGTGAGTAAACAGTTTTTACTATTCCTGGGAGAACGTACGTATTTCCTGGAAAAGTATATATGGGTCATTAAGTCGCGGAATCATAATTTTTGCACCGTCTTAAACTCTATCGACTTTGATCCTTTGTATCTCGCCAACCGATTGAGATATCAGGATGAAACAAAAAAAGACTTAAATGATTTTCTAAGCGGATTTTGATAACGAAATTTCTAGTTTTTTCTTACATGAGATATCAAAATTTCATTTGTGTTAAAATCTATTAAAATAATTAAACGCATTGGATCTTTATTTGATGAAAAAAATTCCGAGTAAATCAATTAATTAAAATTAGTTAAAATTGCTAGATATATTTCTATATTATATTATGTAAAAGATGATAAATAATTAATGTTCGAACACATTGTTTGAAGTAATTTTTTCTCGTTTAAATAGCGAGAAAAAAAAAGTTAACGCGGATTCTTTCAGCCTGAATACCGTTTACGTTTCTTCCTACGGTTCCTAAGTTGTTTCAATCTCACGATATTCTAAAGTTTTCTGATTGTAGAAGATTGAGAGTTTTGAAGAAAAAGTTGGCAAGGAAAGGCAAAGGTAGGGGCCCGGTCATCGTTAACAATTTCAACGTGCTACTTATCGAAACATGATAAAAATATTCCGTGAAAGTTGAATTTCTTTATTATCCGTTCCTTTGAAAAGCTTTTCATATTATTGCCTCGTATTATTGCATTCTCATTCCGATAAATATTAAAATCTCCGTTGTGCAAAATTTAATGAAAAGTTCTTCTCTACAAATTTAACAAAGAATTCATTCTCCGCTTGAAGAATGTGTACAATGAAAGAAAAAAACTAACATTTATAAAATATTTTATAAGGATGATCTACTGGTAACACACTGGATATTTCAATAACGCGAACAAATAAAGGATGTTACGCGAAAAAATTGTTCATCATCGCGCTGCATACGCAATTATTATACGAGGTAATCAAGTTTTAATCAACTTTTATCGAATGAACGAAAAACGGAGAACTCGAGAGGAGAGATCAAAAAATAACGTAGTAAATAAAAGAAGTATCGCTCTCTTCTTCGTTACCAGCTATTAAATTTCCTTCTTTCGACTATTTCTTTCCCGCGTGAGGCTGATTAATGTAGTAGAACATCACAGCTAATGTCACAGGCGGAACATCATAAATACGTGAACCAGATGGCTGGCAGTAATTTCGGAAATGAACAACGGAAAACGTCAAGGATAATCGTGTTAGAAACGCGGACTGGTGGTCAGTTAGCGAAGTCCTTCATATTTCGTGGTTACGTGCAGTGTTAAGCAACCCTGAGTCTAAATTTTATAAGTGTATAGCGTTCGCGAAATACAAATACAGTTCTATTAGTTTGTCGTAGTTTGTCGAAATAATTTGCGATTTTACGTAAAGCAAATGACTTGATGTCTCTTCTCATTATTGAGGAAAACATATTTAAAATTTATACATTGACAAACTTTTTGTAAATTTTCGAATTAAATAAATTATTTAATTGTTACGTGCACGATAATTGAAACATAAGAATGATATAATCTATGTAATTTTTTAATTCGATGAAATTTGTTATAAAAATACAGCAAATAATAAACCAAAGCTTTCCAAAAATATATTCCATGATTTTAAAATGATTAAAAATAATTTGAATACATGTGTTCGATATCAAATCTATTTTAATTTATTAATTCTTCTTTTTATTCAATTATTCGTAAAAGGCAAAAATCTTTAAATAACAATTAAAATTCTAAGCACTCAGAGGATTTCCTATATGTACAATAACAATTAAGGTATCGTGAAACCACAAGAACATCAGATTTCAAAGAGGTACCGTAGGATTGCAGGCTAGTTTCCCAAGAACGTGAGCAACATCCCTATACTATACATCTACTTAGTCAATACAGCAACTTTGTATAGAATACATGCAAAATTCGACCAATCGCAAAAAGCATAGACGTTCTCATTCTGCATCTACTCTCATCCCTTTCTAGGATATCTCTGAAACAACTTCGAATCAGTTCTTACTACGAACCAAATCTATTCGAAGCTTCAATAGTTGAACTTCTTGAAGTATTGCAATCTCAGATATTGCAATATATATCAAATGTGTTGTATGTCGAAATTGTGAAAATTTCTGATATGAATTTCTCTAAACTTATTGTCAACTCGTTTCAAATCTTTGTAAATAACATCGAATCAAAAAATACACAAAAATAGTAATAATAATAATAAATAATAGAATAATAAACGCTACTATTGATCCTTCCTTCGCTTTGAAAACTTTGAAAATATGTTTTAAGCGCTTGCTCAAATCTTAAATAATCGAATCATTTGTGAAATTGGATCACTTGGTGGAGGAAAAGTAGGATCCTCGAAATTATATCTCGCTCGAATAACATACTAATTAATTTAAACAAGTTCTTTGACATTTCACGAGGCAGCGTTACGAATTAGGCGGAGATTCGGACCAAGTAGAAGAGAATGTAAATGATAGGAGAGCTGCAAGTTCATTATAACGCTGTGGTGAGACTGCACAATTGCTCGCGGAACTTTTGTGAATGGCAGTTAATTATAATTAATTCCATATTGTCTGGTCGACAGCTCGTGCTGATTCTTCGCCGGGAAGGATCATTCAGAATCTGGCCGCGAACTTTTAGTTATTACCTGAATTAATATGAATACCAAATTGATATGTACATCATAGAGATAACTTTTCGCACTTAATTTTTTCATCCTTCATTGATTAGAAATTAAACAATTATTCTTGGCGTTGTTCTATTGAGGATCATTGACGTGAATTTATCATCGACAAAATTACAACAAACTCGATTATCATAAATTTATATTCTTGCGATCAATTTCATTCTATAATAAATCTGATAAAATTTTCGTCTTCAACTCATATTTCTTTTCTCATGATGATCATTTAATAATCAGATAATTTATTCAGTTTAATCATATAATTTCATAACACGTAAAATCACGGAATTCAATAAGCCATGATCGAGGCGTGCAACGCCTGGAACGAAACGAAAGTCGATTCAGAGGAATATCGCGCGAGGCAACAAAATTTGCCCCGTGTTGGAATCGGACGAATTTAGGTTCGCACATACTTGAACACGGATTTTAACTGGAAAATGTCGGAGAATGCAAGACAGAGCGACCGGCATCGTTCAAGAGGATATTATCAGTTCGTTCTCTGCTCATAGGAAACCACAATTTCCACGAGTTACACGGGCGAAAACTGACTCTCGTGACTGTACACTAGCCGGCTAGGCTAGTGGAATTCATGGGTCGCGGGTTATGCCGCATTCAATGGTATGTAGTAATTAGCAACATTGCTTCCAGAACCCAAATGTGGAAGGAGGACCGGGTATAGGGATCGGGGTATCGCCAACGTGGATTTCATTCAAGGAAGGAATACAACGCGAGACCGCGATGTTATCTTGCAAATTACTGTTACTATGCAGCCCATCGATTATTCCAACATGAGCCGGTGGTTATCACCATCGAGATTTCGCAGTATATTTGGTGGAATATATTTTTTGTGATAAAAATTAAAAAAAAAATA